TTTAATATAGGGGAAACTGTTTTTTTTTTTTTTAAATTTCGGTAATTTTTCCTTAATATAGTAAAAAAATAAAACCCCCAGTGGTGAATAAATACCACCAAAAGAAAGCTCTATCTGTCCCCAAAAAAGGGTATAAAATTCATTTCAGTACAGCGCTGCATGACGGAATAAATGTCAGTCAAAGTACCGCAGCGCTGAATACTGAAAAATGGCCTGGATGGGAAGGGGGTTTAACACCGCGGATGTCAACTGGTTAATAGGGCAAGCAGTATTTTTTTTCTGACCGCATCGGAACGGAGCCCCAGAAATCCCATAGGAAAGCATTGTGATGTATTTTGGCTGCAGCATCCAAACTGAGCGGACTCCATCTGGTGTGAACTAGCCCTTATACTGAACTGATATCACAATTTAATATGTTTATTCTTTTCTTCTTTCTTTTTTAGCATAACCAGGTTTAAAAAATTGTATTACAAGGCAGGATGCCTAAATTATACTATTTCTAAGCACAACTCCAGGCAAACCTTTAAATACACGGTTGGAATAGACGAGTTTTACCGAGTCTATTCCAAGTGATTTTACCTGTAAATGTATCTCTGCCATATACACAGCTTCCCCCCAAGACGGCACAGCCAGGTTTGCGACCAGGCTTTTCACTACTTTGGTTAGGCAATGCAGCTTGGTCACCTCCCTGCCCACAGCCTGGGATTGGACAGTGATGGAGCAGCCGGTTATGATTGTTTGCTCGCTTTGCTGTCTCTAATGTAACGTGTACTGCAGAATTGGCTCCTAGTGCTGCCCCTCCTGAGTGCTTGTGTACAAGAGAAGAGGCCGATACAAAGTCAGAATCGGGCACATCCACTAATCGCATTTACTACTTAGTAAGATCATGTGACAGGAAACATGTGCTCTGACTAACCACTGTAGAAAAATATTTGTTAAAAACTTGGCCAAGAACTGTATTTTCTGGCTACCTGGCTGCTATGACACTCTTGCCCGCTCTTGGCTTGCATAGACTGCACCATGGCTACAAGTAGAGCTGCAGCTAACGATTATTTTCAAAATCGATTAGTTAGCCGATTATTAAGTTCGATTAATACAATCAATAATTAATCATTGGCTGGATACTTATTTGTATCCATGTTCCATAAATCTTGTACTAATACTGTGCAGTGTATTGGAAGAATCGCTCATTGTCATATACGCTCCTTGGCTTTTGTAGGATGTCAACCCTGAACACTCAGTCTGTACTTTTTCTTTTTGTGTGAGAGGTTTGGTGATCATAGGATAGAGCCGCATTCCCGATGCCTTGCCAATGTCTTAGTTGGCAGTAAGTAGCCGACTAAGGTCTAAGGCAGGGATGGACGAATCCCAGGAGACAGGTAGCCATCGCTCCTTATAAATTAAACTTGGCACCTAATGTTTGAGGTTTTCTGTAGATGTTGACAATAGACCTGGCTCCTAAAAGACAATTCCTATTGACTCCTAGAATGCACATATATTGCATATTGTCCACCCCTGGTCTAAGACCGACTTGGACTAAAGTCTTCACCAAAAATGGTTCTTGAAGACCATGGTGCAACACAGTTGTGCAGTTGTACCTTGAGACTGTATATTTTCTTAACAGATGGTCAGTCTTCTTTGGGTGTTTCTACCTTTTATGGTGCATCTCAAGTCATTACAGGTTCTCCTAAATAGGGACTTGTCTTGAAGCAGTAGACCTGTGGGGTCAGGCTGGCATCCAGTCATTGCAGGTTCTCTTTAAAAGAGACCTATCGTGAAGCAAAACACACATGGGGTTTGGCTTTGATAGAAGGTTGCCATTGTCCAGCTTGTAGGTCTACATTGGTAGGCTTATCTTTGCTTGGACACATAAGTTGCTGTCCTTCAGATCCTATGACATGGGTACTTTGTGACTGATTTCCTTGAATTTATTTGATCCCCATGTGTATGCAAGATCATTATGTAGAAGTGGCCGCAGTGTCCCTCACCTGGGCTTGTTGGTAAGCCAACACTGTAGGAACATTGTAGAGGCGATAGGCCTATACCTGATCTGATGTGGTTTTGTATGTGTGTCCTGTGCAGCTGGAAAACTCGGCACCGAGGACCTGAACTCTCTCATCGCCCATGCCCACCGGCGCATCGACCAGTTACACAAGCAGCTAGCGGAGTTCAGGGTGAGGGAGAAGCAGCACATCGAGGTAGCTATAGAGAAGCAGAAGCTGGAGGATAAGCAAGCCCTGGAGTCTGCAGTGACCAAAGCCCTGGAGCATTACCGCACCGAGATCCAACTGGAGCAAGACAAGAAGGTACAGCAGACGTTCCTTTCATCCTTATCTATTGTCATTAAGAGTATGACATCTGTGATTAGCCATTTGCGCCATAGTGCACACGCCAGTATTGCATCTATTGTGGGTATGGACTTGTTCACACCAACAGTAAGGGAGCATTCGGCAGCCACTGGGTTTGAGAGTTTGTACTAAGCTGGACCGCTTGGTATACACATCCACATTTTGTCATTATGTTGCATGTTTAGCTGTTCTGGTAGGTGGTTTCCCTACTGGGAGAGCATTCTAGGCTGCACAGTGGCTTAGTGGTTAGCACAATGGGGTCCTTGTTACAAGTCTTGGGCAGGGGTTTGCATGTTCTCCCTGTGCCTGAGTGGGTTTCTTTCCACATGCTAAAGACATGCTGGTAGGTTATCTGGCTCCTGTCTTAATTGGCCCTTGTATGTATGCATGGGAGATGGGGACCTCAGATTGTAAGCTCCTTGAAGGCAGTTACTCGTGTTAATGGTATGTAACGCACTGCGTACATTTGTTACACTATATAAAATACATTTGCAGCACAGCCCATGCTGTCATTTTTTAAACACAGTGAGGGGAATTTGTCAAAACTGGAGCAGATGCCCATGGCAACCAATCAGCTTCTCTCTTCAGTTTGTTCAGGTAAGATTTGAAAATGAAAGAGAGAAGCTGATTGGTTGCCACGCACAGCTGCTCCAGATTTTGTCTGCTCCAGTTTTGATAAATTCCCTCCAATGTTGTTTTAAAAAAAAAAATGTTTGTATATCCTTTTGTTACATGTCTTGCTCATCTCCTGCAGCCACTTCCTTTCTAAATGTACGGCAATGGTGGCTGCTTGTCATTTGTTAGGGCAGGTTTGCTGATGGTAAGCACAGTGGGCCATGCCTTTTGTAATAAAAAAACAAAAGGCAACTTGTCTCCATTAAAAGCCCTGGTGACGGCACAGGAGCACATTTGAGGGACAGAGCCTTGTCACCCCATAACAGGAAGTGTCTGAACAAGTATCTGCATGGCAAGATCACCAGGTAACCACTTGCTGTCCGGCTGTGGTAACTTCTTGGATGCGGGTCACCGTTTATATACGGCATTTCCTGCTCACTCCGATCCGTGAAATGTTCACATTGTTTATAGCCAGCGACGGCTGTTATGTACCAGCATTCAGGCGACTCTAGAACATAGACTTTTATACTAGAAGTGTTTTTATTTCATGACCTGGCAAAGTGAATTCTCCATGTAAGTATAACTCATGTAAACAATGCTGACTGTTCAGGGACTGTTATAAGACATAAAGTTCTCTGTGTAACTTGGTGTGTTGTTCCAGGTAGAGGAGGTGAGGGATGTGATGGAGGTGGAGATGAGAACACAGCTACGCAGACAAGCGGCCGCACACACAGATCATCTGAGGGACGTCCTCGGTGTACAGGAACAAGAGCTGAAGGCAGAGTTCCAGCAGGTTGGTCTTTAGATCTCCTAAAACTCTCACCGCATGTGGAAATCGGGTGATTTGCCCTTTTAAATCAATGGGCCTGTGCGAAGATGTATCCCGCCAATTGTAGATCACAAGACAGCCTTCAGAAATGAAGGTAAATGTTTCTATGGAGCAGGAGTGACGGTGTGTGTTCTTCATCTGCAGAGCCTGTCGGAGAAGCTGTCTGACCAAGAAATGCAGTTCAGGCGTCTTACTCAGGAACAGCTGGATGGATTCACTCTGGATATCAACACGGCCTACGCCAGGCTGAAGGGCATTGAGCAGGCTGTGGAAGGTGAGTCCCTTTGGCCTCCTTTACAGCTACACGTTTTAGTGTGCATGTTGGAATTCAAAACAACGGGTGTGTCATAGGAACACGTTTAAACCAATGAGCCTGTTCTCTCCGCATTTTGGAAAATGAAGTGTGTCTGTTTTGCTGTGACGTATGATGGGTTTGATGAACTTTTTCTGTATATTAATCTTCCCCAGGGCACGCCGTAGCTGAAGAGGAGGCCAGAAAGGCCCATCACCTCTGGTTATCCATTGAAGCTTTACAGTTTGCGCTGAGAACAGCGTCTGGCGAAAGCCCCACCGAGCCATTGGAGAGTGCAGTACAGGGGATCAAAGCCAGCTGCTCCAATAATGAATTCACAGAAGCCCTGACCTCTGCGCTGCCTCAAGAGTCCCTTCACCGCGGCGTGTACAGCGAGGAGGCCCTCCGAGCACGCTTTTATACCGTCCGTAACCTAGCCCGCCAGGTGGCCCTCATTGATGAAACCAGAAACAGTCTGTACCAATACTTCCTCTCCTACCTGCAGTCTCTTCTCGTATTTGAACCTAAGCAGGTAAAACCCCCAAGCGAGCTGACCTCCGAGGATCTGGACACGTTCAAACTGCTCTCTTACGCCTCCTATTGCATCGAGCATGGCGAGTTAGAGCTGGCCGCTAAGTTTGTCAATCAGCTGAGAGGAGAGTCTAGAAGGGTGGCTCATGACTGGTTGAATGAGACCCGTCTGACCCTGGAAACCAAGCAGGTCATAAGTATCCTGTCGGCGTACGCCAGCGCAGTCGGCTTGGGCACCACACAAGTACAATGATGGAAAGGGAAGATTAAATGAAGTCAGAATTGTTGCAGTGTTGAATCCGAAAACCCCTTTTTGTCACACAGAGAAAAACTTTCATTTATAGAGTGCCGGATGCTGAGATGCAGCTGGGGCGGCCATTTTGCATATAGTGACCAGTGCGGAGCAATATTTAAGGGGTCAGCCCAATAAATCGGAGATATTTCAGATCTAAAAAGATTAAGTTTAGTGGCATGACTTTTTCTTTTAAATATTGGGAATTTCCCTGTTAAATTTTTGGTTATCGCTCCTGCCCTAAAAGTCTGTCTTCTGGGACAGCAGAATGAAAATGTAGCCGGTAGACGGGGCCCCCTTGTACTTGCTGGTAGCCAGTCCTAGAAATGCAAGTGTGCAGATTCCACTACCAGAGTGCACAAGGGGTATAGGAAGCCCACCTGGCAGCATCTATCCATTACTGCAATATTCATTAGGAGAGCCTGACCTTTTAAAGCTGAACTCCAGCTATAAAGATTTATGTATACTTACAGTGGCCCAGTCTAAGTATAGATATTTTATACCTGGAAGGGCCACAGGGGACCCTGTACAATACTACAATGCTTTACAGCGATCTGGGTCCAGGAATAGCCGCTGTGCTGAGCGACTTTCCCTCCGCTGTGAAAGCACAGGGGGATTCTCGCTCAGCACATCGGCCATTCAGAAAACGCCTAGTACTTTTATCAGGGGATAGTAGGTGTTCTCTGATTGGATGAGGGACGGTGCCGTGATGTCACAGTGGCATATAGGGCCTGGAAGATCGCTGTAAAGCACTGTAGTAGCTGCTGCTGCTGCTACAGTGTATAACAGGTACCTGTGGCCCTACCAGGTATAAATGATGATTATATTGGGCCACGTTGAAGCAGTGCAAGTATACAGAAATCTTTATAGCTGGAGTTCACCTTCTGCTTGTCACTGATGGGCAGCAAACCATCTGCATATCCTAAATGCCCTCAGGGTGCAGTGCCGAGTTCACTATGCACCCATAAGGTTTTTTGTCGGCATCGGGCATGGCATTTTAAACTTGGCAAGCAGCATGCAAGTCTGGCACTTCTTATGATGTGGGCCAACGTACCCATTCTAGAACCGTGCTCAAAGCAATTAATTGGTCGTGTCAGCCTGTGAGTGGCCGGCTTCATCTGAAAGTTGTGCGTTCTGTACCTGATTTGAGGTGTTCAGTGCCCCCCTCCTATGCAGAGGGGGGCAGATGTAGTCTCATTACTGTGCCCGAGAACACAGCCAATGGGTGCGGGCTGTAAACTGGGCACCTTCTGCACCTTTTTTTTTTTGGTGCATATTTCCAATGCACAATTTTCTCTGCTAAATAATTAGCAGAATGAATATATTTCATTGGAGAAGATTCCCGGTGTATTCTACGTTCCCCTAGCTGCTGTGTTCATGAGGACAGACACCGTCACCAGGAAGAAGATTCATCCCTTCTTATATCCTGATTCCTGGCGAACAAACTACATTCTCATCACCAGTTGCTTCATGGCTGTTTGTGACGTGTACTGTAAACGCACAAGATGGCGGCTCCACTAAGCATACACAAGGTTCACTTTTAGGTTCTGATTGTTTGGTTTCCTGTAAATCATCACAGTGATAAGTTTTCTTGTATTCTATTAACCCTTCTCACTCCAGATGACAGGACTCTGTGGCCTTCCTGCACAATGCCTGCACCTTCTGACATGCTTCCCTCTGCCCTGCGTTTTTATGTTTTCAGGTTTTACTGATCCAACCAAATTGTCATTTACCCCTTTCAATTCTGCCAGCTGGGACATCCGAATAAAACAATCACACTCACCTTTTTGTGTTTCCTGTGTTGAATGTATGGAGTCAGATAGAACCGACCTCATTTCCTTGCTAGTGGATGTCCAGTATCCGCTAGAAACAACATCCAAAAGCACTGAAATTTCTGTTGCGTGCCGCCATCTTGGATGTGATTGTCAGCAGCCCAACAGGCACAGAGCTGTCACTCCTTCCCCAGTTGCTTCAGAAATCATTTAAAAAAAGAAAATGCTGCAAGTAAGCATATCAACGATTTGACTTCCCTGTGCTATTACCTGCATTTGTTTAAGTTGGTGACAGGGTCTCTTTAAGACAACCATGCCCATACAGTTTGTGTGCACTTTGCCTCTCTATAAAATGCCTTCCATTATCAGTCATCTGTAATAGCAGAAACACTGGCTGGCCTATGTAGAGGCTGAACACTCCCTGAATTAAAGTGAAACCTAACCAGGTACAATCTCTGTGTTGGTCTGTGCGAGGGGTATTATTGGCCGCCTTCCCTGCCCCCATGTGATCGAGCCTGGCAAATAGTAACTGGGAGTAGGCAACATCGGCACTCCAGCGCCTGTGTAACTGCATGTCCTATGAGGCATTGCAAGTCACTGTCACTGACAGTCACTGGAATTTGTAGTCTGACCACAGCCGAGGTTGCCTAACCCCGAGACATACTGTACGTTTTAAGGCCCCGAGCATTGCATTATGGGGAAAAGGAGGTGACGGTCACGCGTTTCCCCAAAACTAGAAGTCTTCTTCCATGAGCTCAGACAGACAATGTGGTGAAGGTAAGTCTCAGGAAGAGGAAATTGACCGTGCTGTGACCCAAACATAAATGACTAGATCCATGAACCCATCGCACGCCTGACCGCTTGTCTCCAAAGCAAATCAGACGGGTGCTGCGGTGATCGATGGATGGCGACCGCCATGCAACAGTAAAAGCAGGGACACCGGCACGCCAATATAAGCGTGAAGATAGTCTCTTATTTATTGAAGAAATACACAGAGCCCCTTCCCCATAGCCTGGGGAAGGGGATCCTGTGTGACCCCGAAACGGTTGTCACATCTTTGTGATATGTCGTATTTCTTCAATAAAAAGACTTTGGGCACTCCAGTATAAGCGTGAAGATAAACAAAAATGAGGTACTTACGTTCCAGCAACATTAACACAATTTACATTCCTAAATGTTCCCTATATGGTAGCAAATCTTCACTTTTTTGAGTTCAGATCAACTTAAAAAAAAAAAAAAGCTTGGAGCACCAATCCCACCTCAGGAATTGCGTAAAGTCTTCTCCAGCACATCCTAAAGATTCTCAGTGGGGATTAGGTCTGAAATGCTGTGAAAAATGATGCATCACGCTCCCTGAACCATTCTTTCACAAGCCCGAAGAATCCTGGCATTGTCCTCTTGGAATATACAATCAGGGAAGAAAAATCCATTGATGGAAAAAAAACCTGATCATTCCGTATATTCAGTGGGCGCTGACCATTTTTTTGGCACATAACATTGCTGAACCCCTAGACCTGACCAACCGAAACAAACCCAGATCATAACACTTCCCAAGATCCAGATGGTGACTTTTTTTGGCCAGGCAGTGTATGCCTGGAGTTCTGCTCACACCTCTAAACTGGCCAAATGTAGCAGAGAACACAGTAAGGTTTCCACCAATGACAACACTTAGCCATTTCAAACCAAATATTCCCCCAGAACCCCATACAGATAATGGAGCACATGTATAAAATTGTGTGCTTTGCAATTGGGTTTCAGCCACCAGAACACACGGGGGCTTCTCCAGCATTTTCGGGGGCGCTTATGTGGAGATTCCACAACTGGTAAGACCGCTGGAAGCAAATCACTAAACTACGCCACCATTTTACCTAAAGTATGTCAATCACTTGGCAGCCAGAACGCTGCAGAATCTTGACCACTATTTGGGAAGGGACATCGCTGGCCCAGTCGGAGAGAGTGACATCATAGGTGAATGTGAGCGGACTCTTGCCAATTCTGTCACTGGCAGCACTCGTGTGACATGGCCTGCAGAGTGACAAATAGTCCATCAGCACCGTCCACTGCTAGAGGACAGCAAGGGGTTCCTTTCCCACCCCATCAACATGCTAATTAAATGTTTATTATAAACGATTTGGTGACGATAACTTGTGAATGGGGCCTCAGTATCTATCCTCCCAGGAGGAAGTTCTATCAATGGTAAATATTTCACAAACGGGGAAGAAACTTTTAATTTTCATAATTTAATATTTGCACAAAGTGAACAAAAAATAAATGTAAAAAATAAAGTGTAAATTTCCACATGGGCTCGGCCGTCTTCATCGATGACATGAGATTGAAGGCCAAGTGGATTCAGACGATGGTGTTTGCAGGTCACCTCATGCCTCTTCAATGTCACTGCTGCTGCCACTACTACTACTACTGCTGCTGCTGCTGCTGTCGCTGGATGTCAGGTCTTGTAGGGTTATACTAAAGGAAGGAAAAGAAAAAACAAATGCACGGCTTTAGTCATCTTTTTACAGATCCCTTCACTTCAGAGACTTTGCTAGTCTGCCGTTCAGACATGTATTCCGATTGGCTAAGGTAACCTCACACAGCTCAGTAAAGGTGGCCATACACTCTACAACCATCGCAAGACTTTAGTCTTGCGATGGTTGTACAGGGATTAAAAAAACGTACGATCTGCCCATCTTGGACGGGCAGATCGCACTCTCGATCATCGCAATGATGACCGCAATGCTGAACGGGCAGTGTGCGCGTGCGCACACCGGCCCGTTCGCCATTTGTCTTCCGAGCACCGTTCTAACCAGCCGAGAATCGTACGATTCCCGGCTGGTTTTCTAGCATGCTGGTTCGACGGAAGACGTGCGACCGTACAGTAGAAACGGTCGCACGTCTCCGTTCACACTGCTCGATTCTCGTACGAGAATCGAGCAGTGTATGGGCACCTTTAGAGAGAAACCTTTGTCAATGCTACAAACTGCTAATGTATGTTAAAGTGTATTCACACCCCAAACATAAATATATGTCATATACTGCAGCTTACCAGTCCTTAGATGTGGTGGCTGCTTTAGTTTTCTTTTTTAAAGGCCCCATGTCCTTTATATTGTAAAGCGCTGTGCAAACTATTGGCGCTATATAAATCCTGTATAATAATATGTCATGTCCTACCGATGCCCCACAGAGCTACACCAGCTTCTTCACCGCAGCGCTATGCTGTCAGTCAAAACCTTTGTTGGTGGAGCAAGGTGTGCTCTGTCACTGACCGCCAGTGGTGGGGTGGTGGGGAGGGAGGGGGACCAGCAGTGACATCGCTGACCACCCTCCTCCTCCTCCTCAACCTACTGCACATTCCAGCTACAGCAGCTGTACAGGGTGACAAGGCTGCAGTAATTATACTGCAGGGGTATTAGCTCTGCCTCCCTGTCAGAGAAAGAACCCCTTAACTGCAGATCACCGGCTTTTATTACAGTTGACCGTCTAAAAGACGTACAAAATTCAGTTACTATGTGATGTACGAGTGCCATACAATAAACAATAAATCTATGTTTACCTCCTGATTGATCCAGATCCCTCCTTTATTTGGGTCTCTCACGCTAACCCTCCCAGACACTGCAGCTCACAGTCAGAGGGTTTCTGCAACAAGGCAGTGCTTTCAATCCAGATAGCAGTGAGCAGGACTAGGTGTGACCAGGTGCGGACTGAGAAGCTAGAAGCTTGTGAATCAGCAGTGACAGTACTGATAGCCATGCCCCCTGCAACATCTTCTCATCTCACCGTAGTGCAACCAGGCACAGCCTACATGAGACTGACAACTCAGCTCTGAATTCAGGAGCAGAGCAGCATCGTTGCCACACCATCACAGGAAGCTGCATCAGGTTCCTTCATTGGCAGGTGAGTATGAGCTCAGACCAAACCTGGTCCATATTAGAACCCCAAAATCAAAATGGGGCCACCCGGCCAATCAGCTGCAGGCCTGGGCATTTAGCACCCAGAAGCTCAACATAAAGAAAGGGGCGGGATTCTTGTGCTGACATCACTGACCTTACATGGCCATATGACTATATTAAGTAAATGTCATTGACCAAATATAGCCATGTGGCCTTCCAAAGTCAATGATGTCACTGCAGCTCGTCCCTTTGCTTATGTGCAGTTGCAGGCCAGGGATTTCACGGTCGCAGCTCATTGGGCAGCAGCAGATGAAGCTTCCTTTCGTGTTCGAAGGAAGGTGAACAGCACGAAATACAAATAGGCCTCAGGAACGAATCAGCAATCATCTTTCATTACCAGGACTTCTCTAACCTGCACACACTGGACACTCTACGTTCCACCTAATCTAGATTTCTATACAGTATTGTCCTGTCTTCTCTACAAGTACTGAGGATGTGGTGGGTCAAACCTGATGCACCATGGACTGAAGTGCTGAATTCAAGAGACTCTTACATATCCACCAAACCCAGTTCTTACCGTTGCTCTTCAGTGAGGGTGAACTCATCCAGCACCTTCTGGGCAAGCTTGGCTGTGTTCGGCAAGCTATAGCTGACGGCCATCTGCACAAGGTCAACGGCCGCACCTGTGCTGCCTGAGGCTTTAGCACCGTCCATGAGCTCATCAATCACATGTGCCCTGGAAGAAGCGCAACAGTTTCCAGTCAGTACTAGAAAACCCGCCCAGTAAAAGTATTTCTTCAATAAGCAACAAGTCGTCATTCCCAACCTCCCCAATGGTTCCGGTTCCTGCCTGTTGGGTGCCAGTGGTGGATCCATGCTCCCCCGGGAAAACAAAGTCCACAGGGTAAGAGATCAGGTCCGCACTGCAGGATTCAATAAAACTTTGTCCTGCTGGGACAAAGAGCAGCGCCCAGCGGGGAGGAAAGAAACCTTGGATGCGCCGATCGGCAGGAAAATGGCACTTTCGGCATTTAGCAAAAAGTGCCATTTTCGGCCGATATGTTTCGGTGGCTGATATATCGGTGCATCCCTAGGTTAAACTGATCAGGAGGAGGAGCTAATATAAACTGTATATAAACATAAGAGGCAAGCACTAGTGTGGATCTAAACACATCTTCCCGTCCAGAATTCATACATTTCCCCTTAGGTTACAACTCCTCAAATATAAATAATATGAATACCGTCTATGCCCTTGTGTGGAGATACCATAACATATAACCCATTCAAACTACAGTGCAAGCATCATAACTACATTTCTTCTGGTCAACGAATGAAGGAGAACATCTAATTGGAGTCCATGAGTAGACCATCTGCCATCTATTAACTGCCGAATAATCAGAGCTCCCTCCAAGACACAATTAGGAGTTGTCAACTCAAGAATTTCCAGTAGGTGTGCAACTACAAGTCCCAGCACACTCCTACAGAACGGACATCATATATTCCCAACGAAGAGAACTCACCCAGGAACCAAATTTTGGGACTTGAAGGACTTCAGTGACGACCTGCAATAAAGGCGGCAAAGAATCAAGGTAAAGAAGACACAACACATTCAGTTCCTGTGTATACAATTCATCATCGGCTGCTGTAACAACTTTTCTTTTCCTATTATTCAAACTCCTGTATATAGGCATATACCCCACCAGTCAGTCTATGACTTCCACACATGGAGCTTCACTTTGTTTATACTAAACTAGACACAGCAGGACTAGTGGATGTGCATGTTGGAAAGAGACCCAATGGACTGACTGGTCCTTTCCCAACATTCAGATCCGGCTATCACATTCCTTGCATCCCATATTACCCATCAATACAAGTCATGCAGATGTGATTTAGACAAAACACTGGCAGAGCAATCTCACCAAACTTCCTCCATTCTCCCGGCTCTGCACAGCAGGATGGTGATATTTCCCAGGACGGCAGCAGACAGCTTCAGCTGGGCTGACGGGTACTCAGCAGAATCATGGAAAGATTTAATGGCTGCAGCGATATTTGCAAACGCCTGCTGGAGCTGGATACAGGATATGACTCGTGACAACATTTATAAGCAGACCCCAAACTGTTACCATTGATAAAAACTGTATTTTATTCTATGATTTCTCCCAGGTATAATGACACGAACATTTGATTTCTATTACAAGTAACACAAAAGGCGTTTTTAATGCTAGAACAAAAAAAAGGAACAGACGAATGAAAACAAAACAACAAAAAAAGTCCCTAGTTGGGAACTGACAGCAGGGAACATCCCTTCCTCCCACTCTCCTGTGAAGTATGAACCTGGAAGATCCCGGAGTACTTGCCCCGAGTTCCCTGCTCACCATCACATTTGTTTTTTCATTCAATTCCAAGGAGCCCTACCTGTGGATTCTGCTTTTCTCTCGTCATTATTTGGAGAAACTCCTGGAACAAGTAATCTTTGTTTAAATGACCGACCGTGAACAAATCTGGAAAGCATAAAAACATGAAATGGATCATTTACATGCCACACTTCCTCCATATCACGCTGGAGACATTTGCAGCTTATTCTATATACTCGTCTATATACACTGCCTGGGCAAAACAAAAAGTCACACAACTCTAATGTTTTGTTGGACTGCCTTTAGTTTTGATTGCGGCACACATTCGCCGTGACATCATTTTAAAAAGCTTATACAATATTATTTTTTGATTCTTTCCCCTTTTCTTGGTCTGTAATATTTTTGTTAATCTCACCGTACACTCTTTCCATTTCTGCATCCTGTACCCCACATGTCATCTCAGGTTGTATTTTGCTTTCATACATTGCAACAGTGACATACCATACACCACAGTATACTTATTTACATTACATAACGTTTATGTGCCAATATTTACTGTTGCCATGAGCAGGGCCGCCGTCAGGGGGGGTACGGCCGATATCCATGTAAGTGGCCCGACCAGCCTTCGAGGGCCCGCCCGGGAACCTTACATGAGTATCGGGCAACGGTGAAGTGCGAGGACCGCAGAGGCTCTTACAGCGTCTGCCGCGGCGTACAGTAAACTTGGTCCGGGACGGCTCACCCCCCCTGTTCAGTTGGTACCTTCTTGTGCAGGAAAGGTTTTTTGGGGGGCGGAGCTTGAGGAACGAGCACTGAGAGCGAGGCGGGAGAGGAGCAGAGCTGAGCTGCTGGTCCTGGACTGCACTGAAGTGGAAAGGTAAGCAGACGTCTGGGGGAACAGCAGCAGTATGGTGTCAGATGCTGGGGTGGGGGCCCACTGGGGAGATGGGCATTGGCAGAGGGCAGCAGCAAGCAACTGGTGCCCAAGGCTCATAGGGGCCCGACGCTGGGGTCCAGCATTGGTCCCCTATTCAGCCATGGGCACCAGCTGCTTGGTGTGGGTTCACTGGGGGGAGTGTTTGGAGAGGACAGCAGCCAGTAGCAACAAGCAGCTGGTGCCCAAGGCTGGTAGGGGCCCGACGCTGGGGCACAGCATCGGGCCCCTATTCAGCCTTGGGCACCAGCTGCTTGGTGGGGGCCCACTGGGGGGGGTGTTTGCAGAGGACAGTATCAGCAAGCAGCTGGTGCCCAGGGCTGAGAGGGGCCCGAAGCTGGGGCCCAGCATTGGTCCCTTATTTAGGCCTTGTTCACACCAAAAGCGTGTGCATTCCAGAGCGGTAGCTGCTGGAACGCACCGCGATCGCTAACAAACTTCTCCCCGCGTTTTGCGGCAGGAAGGGGTGTAGCGGTGCATTGAATTCAATGGCACCGCTTCCACACCCCCCGCCGCAGTGCGATCGAACGTGTGGCAAGACTTTGCCACCGTTGCGTTCCACTGCAAACGCAAAAAATAGGGCTTGCTCCAGCGCGTCGTCACTCAGCCCCCTTTCCAGCGGGTCACTAATCCCAGAGTCCATTGCGTCACTAAGGTTTAGTTCACACCATAAGCAGTGCGTTCCGGTCCGATTCTGGCCGGAACGCACTGCCCGCATTGCGGCCGGCTCACTTATTTGCCAGGCTGAGGGGGGCATGGTGGGCCATTGAAGTAAATAGCACCGTAGCCACTCCCTCCGGCCGCAAAGCGATCGCCCGCTAGGGATCGCAAGGCACATTGTGCCTGCAGTGCATTCGGGTGCGGTGCGATCAAAATAGTGCTTGCAGCATTTTTATTGCACCACACCCGAACGCACTGGCGGTACAATGTGCCTTGTGATTCAGTGTGGGAGATCGCATTGCAGCCAGAGGGCGTGGCTACGGTGCCATTCACTTCAATGGCCTGCCACTCCCCCTCCAGATGTATATGTACCATCGGCTATAGAGGACCACATATCCCAGCAATACATTATACACTGTATGTATATTGTATTGCTAGGATTTGCTGTCTTCTTCTATAGCCGGTGCCATTCTGCATTGTACTGTATATAATGTGTTATTACTGGGATTTGTGGTCCTCTATAGCTGGTGGTATTCTGCAGTGCGCTGTATAATGATTATACGGCGAAATGCAGAATACCAGCAGCTATAGAGGAATACAACAAATGCCAGCAATAGTACAACATGATACTATAATGTACTATTGCTGGGATTTGTAGTCCTCTGTAGCCAGTGCCATTTCTGCATTGATTGCTTTATAATTTTACTACATTGCACACCACACTTTTTTTTTTGCTTTCACCACTCCAAGCTTGAGTGACGTGATTGGCTCAGTGTTCTCTGTACACGCTGCGGTATATGGCAGAGCTATATACATGTATAATCATAAGTTGTGATTGTGGGGGGACATTAGAGTGTAAGCTCCTCTGTACAGAGACTGATGTGACTGGCTCAGTGTTCTCTTTACAGCATTGCGGTATATATATATATGTATAATAATAACAGTGTGACTGGCTCAGCGGTGCGGGGGGTTATTGCGGACACTGTGCGGTGGGCGGACACCGGGCGGTGCGGGGGGGCCCTAGCCTAAAGCCGTGTAAGGGGCCCCGAAATTTCTGATGGCTGCCCTGGCCATGAGTACCAACACTCGTTCCAAATGGGTTTATGATGTTGCTTTTGTTGCCTCTGTATTAGATAACAGCCAGTTATGACATCCAGATACCACCTGAATGTCTCCAATGTTTATTCCATGACACTTTTAGTGCTGCTGGCTTTATTATGCATTATTCCCTGTTTTTAGCCTTAATATTATGGCCGCTGTGGTTGCTAAGGAACGCTTAGGGGGAACTTTCCCCACCGCTAGAGCTGGTGACCACGGTCCTCTGTCCCGTGCCAGGTGACATAGGCCGTGACTGGTTAACAGGATAGGCACTGCGTTCCAGACGGCGCTCTCACTGGTGGACGGGGGCGGAGACAGCTGGCGGTCCAGTGTGTTGTTGTCGTGAAAAGCCGGACACCGCGCAAGCTGGTTACTATTTAAACCGGTGCGCGCTGTGACTCGTCCGGCACCGGGGTCCTCTCGTCTGAGTTAATTTTCAAGGCCTGTAAATTGCAAGGCTATAGTGACATTTCTGGCTGGTTGGTGAGACACCATAACATTTTTGAAGCCCTGTACACACACACACACACACACACACACACACACACACACACACACACTGGCATAGGCAGACACTGTGACATCCAAGAATGGGATTTACGTTACCTTTCCAGATCCCAGGTATGAGATCTAAGCGGTTCTCCATCTCTATCACCTGCAGGAGATTCATGATGGCTTTGGAATTTGGAGAATACCTCTGCGGACAAGGACACAGCGTTAGTATTCAGACTTTCTACGGTCATCCCAACTAGTCCCCACTCAAGTCATCCACACGTTAACCTGTTTAGCATGGATGGAGGAACCTACCGATTTTCTCCAATGAAGTGTGTATAGCTCGCCTTTACGGCATCCATTGTTACTATCAAAGTGCTGGCCAGGGTGACTAAAGCTCTGAAGACAATCAATCTACTCCCGGATAGGGGATGTGTGATTGGCAACAACATGACCCCAAAGCATGATCCTGTGCATCTGACATCAGCTCTTCTGGAATGGAGACATTAGACAAACTCTGTAATGGGGGCCCCTTCCCACCTTTGGTACCCACAGCAGCTGCGTGGGCTGCTATGGCTATTGTTATACCACTGGCTACATCATTACATTCAGTGATACTGCAGACACTGTTCTGTGAAGAAGCCACATCTGCTCCCGTGATTTGGAACAAGTCAGGGATTGGCAGATAATGCAGCCAAAGGGCTTTTGTAGAGAAGCAGGGTGTGCTCACAGTAAATAGATAATGTTTTTTGGACGTGTGTAGTACATCCGAGGACAGCAGCTTGTCAAAGTACCCCTCACCATCCCCAAAACTTACAGAAGGAATGTTCTCTCTGTACCACTTTAAGACCACATCAATGTTCTCCAACAGGCAGATGATGTTAAAGAACTTGCCACTGCAAACACAAAGGAAAAGTCATTACTATAAGTGATTGCTTGTACAGCCGGCCTTCATTGTGCTCCTCATTTCCAGCTGCAGATCTATATGCATTAAGGCCTCAAATGTCTATGTGTTGTTTCTGGTTTGCAGAAGTTGCCCACTATCTATAACCATGGCCGTATTTAGGCTTCATGCTACCCTCAGCACCCCTGAATGAGTAAGCCTTCTGTACGACCCTTGTGCCATGCATTATTGAAGACAGCACGGCGTCTGTTTTATATGCAGTATTACTTTTCAGATGTGCAGGAACTGCGTTAGTTGTGCGCTGGATCATTAAGGCATTGCGATTCCAAAGCAAAAAGGCAGCTACCTGCCACTAGGGGAGTCCTCAAGGGTGCCCAGAATGTAGGTAAGAATGAAAGTGCCACATCACTAGTAAGAGTCCAGTTTTTTTTATTACAAGAGAAGACTCCAACACATTTCAGGGGCTCAAAACTCCCCTTCTATCGGGGGGTTAAAAGTCCACGATACAGGACAGAACTAGACAGGAAATATTGTAAGACAATGTATAGGATTTGTGGCCGTTACAGGTCCCCACTCAGGCAGTTCATGTCTTTCAGATGTACAGACCACCAAACAGGAGAAGGAGAGGTGGTCTCATGTTTTCTGAACCATTTAGAGAGTCTTGTGACTCCTTTCCATCCTCTGCACCCCTTCATTCCTGCAATTTTCTTGCTACATTTATGTCCAGAAGAGGACAACAGAATAAAGAAAATGATATTACAATTTGTATGTTTTGAGTCTTGGTGTTTCTGAAGATGTTGCTGCCCTAGGCTCAGGCCCACAAGTGCCATTATAGTAAAGACAGCAACCAGATCTTTAGCGGTCTAAAGTGGCCCTTGCAAACAAGCAAGCATTCCATGGGTATTCCATGGCTTCATCATCATATACCTCAGGCCCACCCCAGTGAAACAGATTCCCAGTGTGAAGGAGGCACTCTACACAGCCCAAGCCAAGTAAGGAGTATATTGCTTTGTAAAAGCAAGGATGAGAAGCCGAAGACAGTGCTTTATGTGGCGGCAAAAGTGTAAAGCTCTGGGAAGCTTGCAGATAGGAGAGAAGTACAAGCAGATGACTGCTCCATTCTAGAGGAGGAGGAGCCATGAGAAATCAGCACTTTCAGACTTGTACCAATTTACGCATCTTTTAGCAGAAGAATGATGGTAAGGAGATGGGGAGTGGAGGACACCATGAGCACATATCTAGCAGAATGATGGTAGGGGGATGGGGAGCAGAGGATGGCTATGAGCACATATCTAGCAGAATGATGGTAGGACGTTGGGAAGTGGAGGATGGCCATGTGCAAATAATCTGACAATGCTGAAAAAGTTCACATTTGAGAGTAACATGAAACTCACTAGTAGAAGGTCTGAGAGCCTCGGCTTCCAAGCAGTTTCCAGTTGTCTCCAGTGTTTCTCAGAGCATCCACTTGATAAGCCAATTCCAGATCCTTCGTGTCCATACACTAAAAGCAGAAACCAGTGGTGAGACAACTCAGATTCTGTTACATAGGGCAACATTTCTTCCTGACAATGTCAAAAGTTACATCTGAAGCAAAACCAGAGTTACAGAAGCCAATTACAGAGTTTAAGTGGTCGTAAGACTTGTGAATGTTAGTATCTCAGTTTGAGGCTGGCCTTCCCACTCTCTGCACTTGGCTTGTATTGTTATATAACAGACATATATGCCAGGAGCAGTGGTCTACCTGAAGACAACTAGGACTGGGCAATACCCCTTCTCATACATAACTTATTCATAAAGTGCTTTCCCACTCCATGTCAGAACTGCTTCGGGTTTACTCTTACTAAATCTGGTAAATGTTCTCAGGCCCCTACACAATGCAACAGCATGCTTGTGGCTCTTCCCCATCCACCTTCATAACAACTCCTGGAGCTGTCATTTTGTCTTTTACGAGGCAGACTGGACACCAAGCACATGCACAGTTCAGTTGCTGCAACATCAGCAAGTGGACAGACCATACCCGGTAATATATGTGGATGGCATGTGGTTGAAGTATGTGCTGCTTCATGATATGTGTTGCTCGTCTTTGAACATGATGGGAGGTGTGCTGGTCTTCCAGCGTGTCCAGGTCAAACTTATGTAGACCTGAACTCACAACGTGAAGACCCGCCATCTTAAGAGGAACATCTAGAAATGTTTATTGTGCCGAAACAGAAACCTGAAAAAGCTATGTTGTCTTGAAGGGTAGTTCCACTTTCCCAGGCGAATTTGGGCAAAATGGAACTACCCCCACCATTCTGCCCCCCTGCTGCTCTTGCCCATACACAGCAGCACAGCCCTGCAGTCGGAGTTTCAAATTCAGTTCACAAATGGCGAGCACTCATTGGCAAGAAGCGATTCTTATTGGTCAGAAGTGTTTCTCACTGACCAATGAGTGCTCGTCATTTGCCAGCAGAATTTAAAATACCGATCACAGGGCTGGGCTGCTGTGTACGGTGTAAGGGTCCGACACTGTCATCCCTGGAGAGGAAGGGGCGTTCGCTGACAGATAAGAGCAGCAGAGGAGGGAGAGGTGGCAGATTGGTGGGGGAAATTCAATTTTCCCAAATTCACCCGAGGAAAGTGGAACTACCCTTTAAATTCCTCCTGAAAAACAGCAGAGAACTTCCTTTGCCTGCAGTCTCATTGCTGTATATCTGCAGTGTGACTGCTGGTCCCAGGAGATTTGAAGTGATGTTGCTCACTGTTCTCCTTGCTGGAGAGGAAGCTGTACCTAGGGACACGCAGTGCAAGGATCTCCCGGCCTCTACTTCATCCATTTTGGGGATCTGTACTCCCTCCACCTCTCCTGCTGCTTCTTGATTATTAGAGATTAATTGGCTATCAGTCATTGGAGTGGCAGATCTGATATGAGGAAGCAGAGCCCCTCTACCATCATGGCCGCCTCCACACAGAGACACAAGGGTCGTTAAGTGAGTAATGTGGAAAAGATTAGCAGCAGGCAGAGCACAAAAAATACTGGTGAGTAGTCTTTTGCCCTCTGCCTTTCTTTTTTCGGCACAACTTCCAGAGGTCAGTTCCCCTTCAAAGAAGAACTGTGGGGGAAATAAACTCACCTAAACTGACTGCATTTTGTCTAGGGGGTCAAATGAAGACGTTTTCCTCACCTGATCCTCGGTCCCGCAGCAGTCAGCACTTAGCTCTCTTCCCCTCTGCTCCCGCTATGGAATATCATTCGGTGTCCTCACAACTAATGCAGGTCTATGGACCTGCATAAGACGTGATGATGTCAGCAGTCCTTAGACCACCACCGGCCACTGAGAAGAGGCTGCGTGGACCGGTCTTTCAGCCCAGCAGGACTGAGGATCAGGCGAGTACAACTTCTTTATTTGAGCCCCCTAGATAAAACAAACATCTAACCCTTGCAGTGCCGGGGGACGCCCCACTACAAGGGTATGTTTTAGATTTTCCCGGAGTTCATGAACAGGATGCATAACAAGTTCACAGTTGTACTCACCACTTTGATTGCATCTGAAAAGAATTTCACTGGAAAAAGAGAAAAAAACAATTACTCAATAATGAATGTACAAGTCATTGGCCAGATGTGAAATCATTTCTTGTTTCATATAGGCCGTCCCTGATTCTGCAAGTGGCCACTGTATTAGAAGGCTGCTTTACCTTGAAGACATAAGGTCCAAATCACAAACATAAAAGGATAATTATTCTGCCAAACGTGGCAATTATTTTTAGCAAACTCCAATACGATGTGACAACTACAGTCACATGGTTACATTAGAGCACCAGACACATTGTGAATGGAGCCTATAGACTTCAACATCTTCCTGTATGATGTAAAAATCATATATCTATAGATCTATATATCTATTAGATATCTATATAGATATATATATATAAAAAAAAAAAGATAACAGGCTATAAAAACAAATCAACCAAAATTACCATCATCAGGATCCTGGGCTGTGAAGCTCTTTCCTTGGATATTGTCAAGAATCTCTTCAAGAATTTCAGCCTGGGATGATGAATCACCTGACAAGCAGATAATAAATACATTTAGCAAACAGCAGTATAATAATAAGGATTCCGATTCATATCATTAAAATTAGGGATGCACCGATATATCGGCCTCCGAAACATATCGGCCGAAAATGGCACTTTTGGCTAAATGCCGAAAGGCCAATTTTCCTGCCGATACATCAGCGCATCCCTGCTTACTTTCCTCCCGCTGGGCGCTGCTCTGCTTCCCAGCGGGGCGGAGAGAAAGTGACAGCCGGCCGAGCGCTGCCTCCTATCACAGTCCGGCAGAGCGGTGTGTGTGTGGAAACAGCCAGCGCTGTCACAGGAGGCTGAGCTCACCTCCCTGCACCGCTTGCTCGGCCTCCTGTGACAACGTGTGACAGAGGAGAGCGGGTACAAGGAGTCGGTGATCGCTGAGTGTTTGTACATAATTGAGGACATGGTATGGTTACTGCATCCTCAATTATGAATGAATGGGAGTGATCTACATCCCCTCCTGTACATTCATAGTTGTAGTTATAGTAACACACTCTGTCCTCATGTTATGAATGAACAGGAACACTCAGTATAGAGGATTCCTGTTCATTGATAACAGGGGCTGCAGAAAAAGACTCTGTGTCCTCAATCTCTTTTTCTATTTTGAAAGGGAAATATCAGGGGTCTTTTTAGACCCCTAATATTTCCCCGAAGCCCCTAAAAGAAAAAAATATTTAATAAATGAATAAATACAAAAACATTAATAAGTTTATAAAAAAAATAGGAAAAATTAAAATAAAAAACATTTTTGGTTTCCGTCTGACTTTTTTTATTTCGGTTTCGTTTCGGTTTTCAAATTTCCATTTCGATGCACCTCTAATTAAAATCGTTTTTTTGTTGTCCATATTACACATGAATACTTCATATGGACCACTTGCAGCAGCTCCAGACATACCACATGTTGCTCCTCTCATTCCTGCCGTGTTGTAAAATAGCATGTACATAATTGAGGACATGGTATGGTTACTGCATCCTCAATTATGAATGAATGGGAGTGATCTACATCCCCTCCTGTACATTCATAGTTGTAGTTATAGTAACACACTCTGTCCTCATGTTATGAATGAACAGGAACACTCAGTATAGAGGATTCCTGTTCATTGATAACAGGGGCTGCAGAAAAAGACTCTGTGTCCTCAATCTCTTTTTCTATTTTGAAAGGGAAATATCAGGGGTCTTTTTAGACCCCTAATATTTCCCCGAAGCCCCTAAAAGAAAAAAATATTTAATAAATGAATAAATACAAAAACATTAATAAGTTTATAAAAAAAATAGGAAAAATTAAAATAAAAAACATTTTTGGTTTCCGTCTGACTTTTTTTATTTCGGTTTCGTTTCGGTTTTCAAATTTCCATTTCGATGCACCTCTAATTAAAATCGTTTTTTTGTTGTCCATATTACACATGAATACTTCATATGGACCACTTGCAGCAGCTCCAGACATACCACATGTTGCTCCTCTCATTCCTGCCGTGTTGTAAAATAGCTCTGAATAGCAAGGGAGATCAGATTACACGGGCTGAACGACCGAGTGGTGGGAAAGTCCACCTTCTCTGCTAGCACACATGGGCCCTCTGGATTAGTTAGTCCACACAGGCTGGCGGCAACCGGGCAGACAGCGTCCAACTTTTCTATAAAGCCCAGCAAGCTAAATTGTATCATAAAAACTCCCTCTATGAATATTTGCTAAATAAAGATTCTAAAAATGACTTTAAAATTGTATAAAGCATCATCTTAACTTGCTGTGGACCGGCCACTGTACATAAACGGCCGGTCCACTACTGATTTGGTTCGGAAGGATGAACCTGTACTGGTGCGGAAGCCGCTGCTCCTGCGGTCAGTAGATAATCGGACAAGTTCTGTGCCTTGTGATCGCTGTGATTGGTTATCACAGCGATCACATGGTAATGCTTACATTGCCAAGCCCTCCCCTTCCTCTTACAACAGATTCAGGGGAGAGTAAAGCAACCAATGAATGGAAGGCTCACCCGTTCATCAGTTCCTGATGAGAACAAGCTGCAGCAGCAAAAAGAACGTTTGTAATAATATTTAACCCCTTTTCCCTTCTCCTCTACAGTATATGTCAGCTCTATGCTGTCTCTGCTCTGACGTGTGTAATAACCCCTTCACCTCCTTAATCCTGCCCACCTGTACATTAACCCCTTCACCTCCTTAATCCTGCCCATCTGTACATAGTTACATAGTATTTGAGGTTGAATAAAGACATTAGTCCATCAAGTCCAACCTATTAGGACTTTAACCCTTTAACCTCCTTTACATTAACCCTTCACCTCCTTCTGTGTACGACCTGCATAATAATGTATCTGGTGCACCATTACCAAGCTCCATGTTTGAACCCTCTCAATACCGGCATGTTGCTTCATTTCCACAAAATTTCAGATCACCTTGGAGTGTCTACTTTCCAAAAAAGAGGTCATTACAGGAGTTTTTCTACTGTCCTGACATTTTTATTTGCTATATTTTATAAACAGAAAGAGAAAGTTTATTTTTTTCACATTTTTGTGGTCATATTTCCTTTACAGAACACAAACAAAGAAAAGAAGCTCATTAAATACCACCAAAAGAAACCTAAATTTGTCTCAAAATGATTTTTTAAAACTGTTTTTGAAACCATTAAAGCAGAACTACACCCCCCGATCCCTTACAGCAAAGGAAGGCGCCTTCTTAGCCCCTATTTGGATTGGAGTTGCTGCACATGTGGTCAGCTATTAAACTAGCCATCTGGCTTTGGTGAAAGTTTGGTTGAGCGCTGAAATAAGCACTGGAAACATTAAAGAGAAACTTTACCCTTATCTTTGGAATGACAACAAGGACACTTTTAGAAATGTTTAGTAATGACAATATAAAAACACACACTTCTAGTTTATTGCCAGCTTTATATTCTTTGTATACCTTATTTTTCTTTTCCTCCCCCTACGTCTCACAGTGACCATTTTTTTTTTAACTAACGGCAGGATCTCCCTTTACTTCCTGGAACTCTGGCACATGTGACTAAGACATGTGACCATGCACATCATCTCAGGGGAGGCAAATGCTTTTCCCTGAGATCTCATGAGATTACAGATGAGATTTCCCAGCAATGCTCTGCTCATGTAACCTTCCCAGGATACAACCCTTGGACACATTACATCACTAATACCTAAGAGGACCAGGAAGTGGAAAAACAATCACTGTAAATAAAAAGCAAATTATGTTTGTTTGCCTAATGAGTGGAAGATGATTACATATCAGTATGCAGAGCAGTTGGCATGCCTTAAAAACAATTTTGGGAGACTTTAAGTTGGTGGGTAAAGTTCCTCTTTGGTTACATCGATAGGTCAAAGTCAACCCCCTTTTTCTTGGTTTACTGGACAGAAGACAAGACAACAGAGCATGCAATCCATGTACTCACTTCCTTTATAAAATATCGCCAACAAGTGGGTGAATGTTGCGAGACTCGGCTCTAGAAAATGAAGAAGAAGAAGATCAGAGGTCTATATCTACTTACATGAGCAATGCGTAGGCTAAACCTCAGCTATACATATAGATCGTTTTGTCCAGTAAGACCCCGTTCACATGTAGCGACATACCTTTGCAGCGGCCGGGATAGCGCGACTTTCGGGGCGACGTTCCAGCGATGGTAGCACGACCTTCTCCGTCGGGCTCCATAGAAAAAAAGCAAAATCCGCCGAAAAAAGGGTCCGGTAGAAGCGACTTGCGACCGCGACGAGCGACATGGAGTTAAGACAGCTCCATTGAATAGCATTGGCCGGCGACTTCTCGCGATATCACGCTGCAAAAATGCACGATATCGCGGCGGAAATCGCGCGATACGTCACTACATGTGAACGGGGCCTTAGACTGAGAACCAGCAGATCAACCGTTCTCCGACTCCCAACGCCCATCAGAGGTGTAAAGTAGGCGGTCAGCCAATCCTATGGATTATCACACGTTTTACACTGCACAGCCAGAGATGTTCTGCAGTCCCAGCTAAACAATTTAGCTTCCTGTGTCACCTCTCTTCTTCCTGCTTCCTCATTGGACAATTATTTAGAATCATTTACTCTGTCCAACCAGGAATGAGCAGAAGACTTAGTTGGATACTTATTGTTCCAGTTTAAAGTGTATGTCGAGCAAACACACTTTTCTCAGTTTGGGATAAAGTGGGGAAGGGTTAGAACCTCTGACAGCTGTATACGGCTATCTGAGCCACTGAGAATTTCCGTCACTCAGGGCAAGGCTGAAGGGTACACAGAAGAGGCGGCCACCTCGGGCACTTAAGCAGTAGGAGGGCTCAAAAAGTGCAGAATCTCTGGTCTGATTTTCTTTAGTAGTACAAGGGAAGTCTAGCACTCCTGCCAGATTTTTTATTTCTGCCTGTGTCCCTGTTGTAGATTGCCATCACTTCCTGTATGGTGAAACGGTTGTCAGCAACACAGGAAGTGAGGGAAAATCTCTAACATCTCCCCAGACAGCAGATAATCCTTCCCCGCTGTGTCTGAAGCTAAACATTGGTCTGGACTTTAACTGCACTAGGAATATGGAACTTATTTATAGCATCCCCTGCACATCAAAAATAAGTGCAGTGGATGCCGAATCTAAAAAAAACACCAGTCTGAAGCTTATATCTCTTACAATGCACCAATCAGATCTAGGTGCAGAGGACTGCCATAGATTCTCGGGTCAGCAATGATCACATGCCCCCCACAGTCTTTTATTGGAATTCGCAGTATGAAAATGAATGTGCATCTCACCTATATTCAAAGCTTTCATCTCATTGACTGTTTGCATTGCCATTCCTTTTAGGCCGGTCCTCCGCAGGCTGTTCAGGATGGCGTTGAATGTGAGCAGGTTTGGTTGAACCTTCTGCTGAACCATCTGATTGATCAGATCCTGCACAGAATGAAAAGATAGTATCACGGGGGGTGCCGTGGACAGGAAACACTACGGGGGCTCATTTATAAAAATGTCCTAAACTCGTCAGCGCCATCTAGGGGCTAAAGTGTCGTAAGAATGCCATCTTTCCGGTGAACTTTTATAAATGAACCCGTAGAACAGGGGTGCCCATAAGGTCGATCCCAATCTACAAGTCGATCGCGTAGCGTCTCCTCCCACCTGTGGGGCTTCTCTGGATCCCCGCTGCTCTCCTCATCTGTATGCAGCGGGGATCCGAGAAGAAGTGAAGGAACCGGCGGCAGGGGAGGGCGGAGGACGGAGCCGCTGTCACAGAACTAATGCCGAGCGGTGGAGAGAGAGACGCTCGGTCTGGATCTCCCCCCTGCGGCTAAAGTGCTTCGTGTCGGAACCCCCGCTGCCTCTGCCTGGGAGAGCAGGGGGGATCCATGGGAGAAGCTGATCCCCTGTGTGCGTGGCCGAGCGGTGGAGGATCGGTACATATCAGTGATTTGTACCGGTCCTCTGTGCAGGACAAACACTGGAGCGATCGTCTGATCACTCCAGTGTTTGTAAATAACTGGGGACACATAGTAATATGTGTCCCCAGTTATAAATGAATGAACAGGATGTGATTTACATCACGTCCCGTTCATTTATGAGTTTCTCAATGGGGAGTAGCGCTCTGTACAGAGGCTCCTCCCCATTCAGAAAATGGACGATAGTAAAATATTTTCTGAATGAATGGGAGGAGCCTCTGTGCTTTCCATTCATTTAGAATAGAGGCTGCAGAAAAAGGGATTGAGAACTTTGTGTCCTCAATTTCTTTTTCTATTTTTAAAAGGGGAAATATCAGGGGGCAGTTGACCCCTAATATTTCCCCAAAGCCCCCCCCAACAGTAAAAAATAAAAAAAATAGTAAAAAATGGTGCAAAAAATCCTGGAGGCAGGGTGCTGGGTGACATCACACACCTGTTGGGAAAGGTTTTTTTCTCTCGGGCGCAATAGGAGCTGGCTACAGCTATGCTCCCACGGCTGAATGTGTTAGATGCCGCAGATGGAAAGGGGCAGGACAATTCTCCCCATGTGCAACATCAGCCACACGAGCACTACGGGAGGATAAGACGCCGGGGCCTCTAGGACGCACTGGAATGTAAGCCGGCCGACTCCCTGCATTTAGGGGCGGGAGGGGGTGTGCGGTTGTATTGAAGTCAATGGCACCGGAGGCATGCCCCCCGCCCACAGTGCGATCACCCGCACCCTGGTCCAGTGCGATTTACAAAAATAGTGCTCGCAGCATTTTTGCGGATCGCACTGGACTAGAACGCAGGCACTAATGTGCCTGGGTTCAGGCGATCTCACTGTGGGCGAGGGGCCTGCCTGCGGTGCCACTGACTTCAATGCACCGCCACGCCCCCTCCCGCCCCTGAATGCAGGTGTTTTTCCATTGGTAGATCTCATTGAGCTCGTCATTTGCAGACGAAAAATTGTGGCCGCCCCTGCCGTAGAACCTTCAGCTCCACAGTACTTATGTTCGTATGCAGCGATTAATAACCAGCAAGCATGCTAAAAACGCACAGCTATGTTCATGTTCTAATGCGTACAATGGCCACAATCATACATTTATAGAGTATTATAGAGTAATGTACATCCTAATAATCTGTATAATGTAACAATCGTCCTCTCTCTTCTTCCTGCATCACCAATCACATCCAAACCTCCCAGGCAGGTCTGGATCTCATTATTCCTACTACTGGAATTGTGATTTATCTATGTCGGGCTTGCTCTGTGTGTGATTGGTAGGCAGGAGGTTGTTGCAGCATCATCTGCACTGTCTAGTGGCGTAACATGGGCCCCCTCCAAGTGGCAGAACTCCAGGGCCCAGTCGCGGCCGCGACCTCTGCGACACGGGTAGTTCCGCCACTGACTGACTACAATATACAAGTACAACAAGCTCTCAATACAAAGACCAGGATTACTAGTGAGCCGCAAGGCAATTGCTTTACTTACCACAATCAAAGCACACCTATCCCTGCCTTCACTTTTCACTCCTGGAGTTGCTGCGATGAGAGCATTGAATGTGTGTACGTCTCCTGCACAGAGAGAAAGAACACCATCTACAAAGTCCATCCATTTCAGATTGAAGCCTCTGGGTCCAGTTGGAGTTTTGCAACGGGATCTCTTTAACCACTTTAGTACCGCTGTACATAACACAAACCTTGGTAATGTTTTATTTTTCAGCCGACTGTCGGCTTTTACAAACAAGTTTTCAGGCTGCTGTAGAGCCACCCCATTACTTGTATAGGGCTGAAAAGCATGGGCCCCGGGACCGGCATGGTGGGTGGATTGAGGAAGATCAGCACAGCCCTGCTGTCTGTGGTTACTGAAACCAGAAGCGACGAGGATTTTGTCACTACCGGTGTCAGTCTGCCATTTCTCTGACTGCTGTGGACAGAGAAGAATCACGATCTGCTTCAGTGGGGTCCATAGGACATCCGGTATCTGGAAAAAAGCACATCTAATAGACCCTTGATGTCTCCATAAAGATGGCCTGTCACTTCCTGTGTTCTATCACACAGGGCAGCTTGTAAACCCCCTTATGTGATCGCAATAAAGTGCAAAATTGACATGCGCCACACGTTACATATTTCTACATACATTGGAGTGACAGCAATGATTCTAGGGCCATCACTCACTGTTAACTTTAAACTAATGAGGGCTAAAGGCTGTCAAAGTGTCACTTATGGGCAATTTTGGGTGCTGTAGTCTCTTGCCATTTCACGTGCAATTTGAAGGTTTGGCATGTTTGGTATCTATTTACCCGATGCAACTCCATCTTTTATATTTCCCAGTAAAACTGGGTATTCTAGTTCCTTTTAGTGTATTCTTTCCTAAAAATATCAATTGGTTAAACATTTGTGCAAATATTGTGCAACATAAAAAAATTGCAACTAGCATTATTTTTTATTCTACCGGCCCTCTGCTTTCAGAGAATAAATCATTGTTTGGGGATTTTAAGCGGTTTTCTAGCCGAAAATTCAGATTTTAACATGTGTTTGCAAAACATAGAAAAATTGTTCCAGTAGCCAAGGGGTAAAGAAGAACTCCAGGCAATCGAAAAATTAAACCTTACACTGGGGCGGCTGCATTAGATGCCATGACCCTTGCAGTGGGCCAGCTGCATCAGATGCCATGACCCTTGCAGTGGGCCAGCTGCATTAGATGCCATGACCCTTGCAGTGGGCCAGCTGCATTAGATGCAATGATGAGGCTGTGGGGAGCGGTCTAGCAGCCAAGCGGGACTGAGGATCAGTCTTTATTTCAGCCCCTAGACCAAAATTAGCAGTTAACCCTTGCAGTGCGGAGGTAGCCCTTATATCGGAGTTTATATTTGTCTTCCCTGACTGCTGTGCAGACTCACCGGTTAGCCTGTTATTAAGAAGGTCTGTGTACATGTCAAACGCCTTGGTGAACGCTCCATGCTGCAAAAAAGAATTTGACAAAGAAAATGATATACACACACACACTATTGCTGCCTGATGGAAGTGCAACTAAAGCTAAAACTTTTTTTCGTTTTGGATAGAGTGGAGAGGGATTAGGACATCTCTTGGGTTGTTGTTGCTGTCTGGAATAGATGAGAAATCTTCCAAGGGGGACACTTTCACTCACTTTGGAGGGATTTCCTCTCATTTCCTGTTATGGTTACACTTTCCAAACTGTAAAAAAAAGTTTTGGCTTCAGGTCTACTCTAAGTTTCACACACCAAGTGTGTTAAACATACTGGCACGTACTGGCTAAGGCCCTTGGGGACTGAAACGCATAAGTGGGTTTGACACAGTTGGTGTTATTCCCTACGCTGTAAATTGATAAAGAGGATTTGGCTATGTGGATTCATACCGTGTGCCGACTATTAGCCACATCAATATTTCTTGTATATTTTGTACTGGTCCCGGCAGGCGGAGGGCGAGAGTCGGGTTTTACATATACAGACGGCAGAATTTTCGGGTCTCTCTCTCACACCCACAACTGGATTCACCCTTCCCCAAATCCAGTCAAAGCAGGCAGTCGACAAGCCCAGAGCTAGAGCTCACAGAAGAAGAGAAGCACCCTATCATACATTATTTGTAAGGATTTTCATAATACACCTGTAAATAAAAATTTCCAAAGACCACAATAGTTTCCCTTTAATGTGGCCAGCCAATCCTGGCCCATCACTAGGTGATAGATACCTTCGCCATTCCTCGAATCATAGTTCGGAAAGAATGCGCGTCTTTTTCCGGCATCAGGTTAAAGATTCTCTCTGCGTTGTTGTTCTTCCTTAAAAGCCAAACAAAAAATAATATAATACAAGACAGAGACAATAATAATACACAGACCTACTTCTGACTGTTCACCACTGCTCTACCTTCATTTTATTATATAAAAAGACTTAATATGACTGAAAACTATGAAAGGGGAACTGCAGGAAAATAGTATTAGATACACACAATGAAAAGTCGTTTATTAGTTTCCGCCTTTTCATGTTTGCATTTAATTTTGAAGAAAAAAAAACAAATAGTCCTCTAGAAGGATTCTGGCCAGTATTAAAGCAGAACTACGGGGAAAAATTATTATGAACTCTCGCAGTAGGACTCCCTCCACACGTCAAGGGTTAACCGTTCGTTTTTGTCTAGCTTCAAAAATAGCAAAGTTATACTCCCCGGATCCTCCGAGCTGGCTTGCTCTTAGGTTGGTCCCTTCCACCTGTCTTCTCCTCTGCTGCAGCGATGGTTAGTCCCTTGACATCCTATAGACAGTGAAGGGAATTTATCAAAACTGGAGCAGACAAAATCTGGAGCAGCTGTGCACGGCAACCAATCAGCTTCTCTTCCATTTTCAAATCTTAACTGAAGAGAGAAGCTGATTGGCTGCCGTGGGCAACTGCTCCCGATTTGTTCCGCTCCAGTTTTGATAAATTTCCCCCCGTGTATAGAACGTGATGACTCACTGGACCTTGGACAAGCCGACTCGAGGATCGGGTGACTAGAACTTTGTTATTGTTGAACCTAGAGCACTGGATCCTTGCAGTGCAAGGCTTAAGAATCATTTTCCCTGGAGTTCTTCTTTAAGAGAAGACCGCTGCTTCTAACATGTTCTTCTATGTGTGGTGGACAAATCAGCTCTCGCACACAATGTTGTTACCTGCAACGGAGAACCCGACTAAAAACAGCAGACTAGAACCTGTGAATGCCAAAAACCCGGAAATCTTTTAGCTTTGCTTGATTTAAAGGGGAAAACACACGGAGGAGCATTTTTAGGGGCGCGCAGCATAAATTCCTGCGCAAATCCCCTGCAAGGGAGCCACACATACAAGTCAGTAGTGCATCTGCTCACATGCGTGTGTTTAGGCAAGTCCACTTACAGACGCTTTTTTTTTACATTCGTATATTCAGATCAACTAAGAAAAGATTCCCCAGTAAAAGTATCTTCTCCATACATGTGCCCAAACACTTCTAATCTGTAAGCTTCACAGCAGCTGCCTCCCGGAACTTCCGGTCAGGGAGTCCCCCACACTGAGCACGTCACACAAAGGTGACATGAAGGCACAGCTCAGTCTCAACTTGCTGCCAAGCTATTCTCTTTGAGGAGGAGCAGGGCAGTGGCTTGCTGTCCTAAGCTTCAGCGCCGTCTGTAAATGCTGACACATGCACTGTAGGGGCATTTTGCAGAAGTCCCAAGCCAGTAGTGCACATGCAATGGTGAATATGGCGGGGCACCACAGGACCCTGCAAGGCAACGCAGCCACCCCCCACAAAATGTACCAGTGCTTGCAGAATTATGATCGGACCGGACCGCAGGCGTAATGTAATGTTAGATCGAAAAAAACTGCGCTAGGAATCGAAAGCGTAATGTGCCTTGGGATCCCGTGCGGCCTATCGCATTGCGGCCAGAGGGCGTGGCTACGGTTGCCATTCACTTCCATGGCCCGCCCCCTCCTGCCCCACAAAAAAGTGAGCCGACCGCAATGTGAGGCAGTGCGTTCTGGCCTGTGAACGAGGCCTAAATGCTGCTTGTTCCAACTTCACCCAGCGCACACCAACACAACTCATTGCTCAGAACTAAGCCTATTGGAAACAATGGATTTCAGCTTGTTGATGAGCTGAGCAATGCAGCTCAACAGAAGTGGTGAGAAGGAGCCATAAAATAAACGTCATAAAAGCTGAAACATACGCTCAGTGAAAATACATGAACCTCACATTCCCCGGTACCCCCCCAAGAGCCTTGACCTTGAATGTCTATAGATAAATGGTGGGTTGGCACGGCTTCATAAACAGTTCATTACCTCCAACTCGTCACTTGAGACACATACTTTGACTCTGGGCTCTTCTGATCCTGTGCCTGAAAATAAAATGTCATCCCATCAGATTCAGAATACAGATGACAGGGCTGAAAATGGCGATTACAGATCACAGGTACATTCTATTTTTCAACAGACAATAAAGTCAGAAGGTTTTTTAAGTTATTTCAAATGCTGATGAAATCACTTACAATGGACGCTGCTCCTGGGTGTGTAACAGTTTTAGTTTCCTGCAGAATCAGCTGGTCCCCTGAGCACTGGTCCTGATATCCTGTTTTAGGGGGGCCCCTTTCCCTTTAAGTAGCCTCACTCCAAGATCACTCCCAGGATGGACTACAATCTCAATACAAGTGAGAAAACTAAATGTGAGATTGTAGTCCATCATAGGAGTGAGCTTGGAGCAGTGACTACTTTACAACACACACAGGGACCATGGGGAACAGAAGTAGTCACCCTCCAGAAGGAAGGACAGTGTCAGCACCAATTCAGAGATGATTTCAGGATCTACAGCCGAGTGATACACAAATAACATACATTTTTGGTAATAGTTCAGGTACTTGAATGTATTTTTAAGGTTTAACTCCTGAGCTTAGTATCACTTTATTGAAGAAGGATTTTTAAAAATTAACCCTTACAGTGGGGCTACCCCGAGTTAAGTGCTTCTTGTGGTCTACGGGAAAAAAGAAAGAATACTCACCCAGTCCTCGGTCCTGCAGCAGTGACCACTCACCCCTCTCCCCCTCCACTGCAGCTATGACATGTCCCTCGGCGTCCTCGTGAAATTTACTGCATTAGACGAGATGACGTCACGGGTCCTTAGACCGCCAGAGCCCAGGGGAGAAGAGTCTGCAAGGACCAGTCTAGCAGCCAGATGGAACTGAAGATTGGGTGAGTATATCTTCTTTATTTTCACCCCTAAAAGAAACAAGCCCTTAACCCTTGCAGTGCAGGGGCATCACCACCAGAAGGGTTAACTTTTAAAAACTGTGGAGTTCTTAAAAAATTATTGTAAACCCTGGTACCATACGATACACTACAATAGGGGCGCGCACGCACTCTACAACAGGGGCGCGCGCGCGCACACACACACACACTCTACAACAGGGGCGCGCGCGCACACACACTCTACAACAGGGGCGCGCGCGCGCACACACACACACACTCTACAACAGGGGCGCGCGCGCACATACACTCTACAACAGGGGCGCGCACACACACTCTACAATAGGGACTTACGTTTTCATTCTCCTGGTCTGGATTTGCCTGGCTCTCCTCTGTGGGCTCTTTGTCTCCATAGAAGCACAGAAGATCCAGAAGTCTATTCGTTGTCTGTAGAGATGTTGGAGTTCCTACAACACAAGAGAATAATATCAGCTTCCCATTCTATAGTTCATATTAGGACATGCTGGTGCAAACACGGCTCTCGCATCCTCTCATGGGAGAAGCCGATTGGTTGTATTTCTGCAAACCTGTTCTGCATTGGGAGTCTCTGGTTATACTCAGGCAAGAAAAAGCAGCTGACTAGCAAAAAAAAAACCAAAACCCCAAAGGCTAATGTGCTCAGACTCTGGAGATGTTATAGTGTCGGTGTCACATCAGTTTGTTCTTCTTATGTCTTCATTCCAGGCAAAGCCAACTCACGGGTGACACATGGTTAATGTATCGAAATCCATCTTAGAAGTGAATGACTGGGCAAAGCTTTAGCACTTTCTGGTAGTCATGGAGCTACTCGTGTAATGGACTGCATGAGATGAGATGTCGTCACGGGTCCTTAGACCACCAGAGCCAGCCGAGGGGAGAAGAGTCTGCAAGGACCAGTCTAGCAGCCAGATAGGACTGTAGAGTGAATCACAGTGTTTGAAAAAGTGCATTACTCCGGCCCTCCCAACTCCAGTCTAGGCTGCACAGAGGCTTAGTGGTTAGCGCAATGGGGTCCTTGTTACAAATCTTGGCCAGGACTCTATCTGCATGGAGTTTGCATGTATTTGGGTGAGTATTTGGGTGAGTACTTGTACTCGCCCAAATGCTCCAATGCCTAGCCCGACACTTCCAGTATCAGGAATACGGGCAGCGTGTCGTTACACGCTGCCCAGCTTCCTGATTGGCCGGCAAGCCGGCTCCATGCTCCCTTGTCATGAGGTGACGAGAGATCATGGAGCAGGCTTCCTGGCCACGCAGGAAGCCGGGCAGCGTCTAATGACACGATGCCCAGCATCCTGATTGGTCGGAAGCTGGCCAATCAGGAAGCCAGGCGCCGTGTAATGACGCAGCACCTGACTTTCTGATTGGTCGGGAAGCCGACTTCATGCCCCATCGTCACCTCATGACAAGGGAGCATGGAGCCAGCTTGCCGGCCAATCAGGAAGCCAGGCGCCGCGTCATTACACAGCGCCCAGCTTCCTGATTGTCCAGAAAGCCGGCTCCATGCTCCCTCGTCACCTAGTGTGGACAGCTTTATACAACCAGAGTGACTATGGAGGCCAACTGAGTCCAGCTGTACAGTCAGGTATAGTTCCTTCACAGGTAGATCAGTCTGGATATCAACGTGTACGTTAACAAAAGACACAGCGAACATTTCACTCAATCACATACCGGCCTGCAGAAGCTGATCGTACATGTCCACGGACTCTTTCATCCTTCTGAGTTTAATACGCTCGGTCAAGGCTTCCTCGCTGATCCCTTCAATCTGTAGCTGGATATTCTCTGGCATCAGGCACTGGAAATGGAAATCTCAGCAATGGAAATCTGCCAGTGGCACAGCAGGTTTACCCTCCATCTCCCCCCTTCGCATCCCAGTCCTC